ATAAGTAAAATTATCATTTTTAGCCTTAAAATGTAACAAAATAAAATTAAAAGTAGCTATTTAAAAATACTGGTAAAATTACAAATCCTCAAAAATACTACTTAAGTACTTTAACAAAGTAAATGTACTCAGTTACTATAAACCCCTACATGATATTTGTTTGTTAAAGCTGAATCAGAACCACAAACAGCTGCAGTCAGACCAGATCTGATGAAACACAAATCATTTTGGTTGAAATTTAACTTCACTGTTTCTGTAAAAAAAAATAAAATAAAATCCAGACCAACTGACCAGTACCTGGTGGTGAGTTGGCTCCAGCGGTGGACTGGGGAGAACCAGTGGCCCAGGAGTTCCCAACAGACTGGCCCACTTCCATGGGCTGTTGAAAATACTCAGACCTGAACATGATTTTGTTAAAAATAGTTATATTTACAAAGCATTTCTTTGAGATGTACAGTGTATACCTGTGAAGCTGAGGTGCAGGTCGTTGGTCTGTGAGGAAACTGGAATACTGGGAACAAACCCATTCATGCAGAGGGAGAACCTGTAAACACCACCCAGAGAGGTTCCAGACTGGGATTTGATCCAGCAACTGAGAAACAACTCCTCTACTGATCCACTGAGCTACCAAATGTTTTATTTATGATGCTGATCAAGGTTCTGTCATTCTAGAAGACAACAGAACCATGGGGGAACAGGTGAGCAGGTTTGGGATGAAAACGAGGCTCTGAGCAGCAAAGCAGGTAAGAAGATGGAGGGCAGGAGAGAGAACAAAGAAACTGAAGACAGAGAACTTCTCTTCAGTTTTTAAACATTAACCAGGAGGCGGAGTTACATTTAAAATATTTTATTAGTTTTAAAATATACATTGTTTACAAACTGAGAAAATAAAATCATTAGTAGAGTTCTAACAGTCAGAGAATTGCTCCCCAACAGGAAGTGAACAAACAAGAAACAGGAAGTGAACAAAAAAAAAAACCCTCCACGACCAGGAAATGTTTCACCTGCATCAGGTGAGTGGTCGGCCAGCTCAGATACATCACCTGGGGAGGGAAGTGAGGAGGTGGGGCTACAATCACCTGGACGCCATGTTTAAACGTCCAGCTAGAAAGTTAACACTTTGTTGTGTCCTCAGGTGAGTCCAGGTAAGTCCTGCGCCTCCCTGAGGCCTGTGTGGAGGTCCTCAGTCTGAGAATCATTCACATGTCACAGCAGAAACACATCCAGATTCAGCAGCTGAAAACTTGCATGTTGTGTTTCAGAACAATCAGAAAAGTGAACACTGATCACAACCAAGACACAAAAAACACACAAACGCCTCGTGCTGCTTCTGTCCACATCAGCTGAACAACAGATCCTGTCAGGGGTTCAGGCCCGACTGTTGAAGCCTCACCAGAAACACCAAAACCCACAGTTAAACCTCAAGTTAATCAAACTAAAGTTCAAACAAAAACAACCTGGTTTTATTGAACTGATCTGTGGTTCACTGCTCTGAGCCTGGATGGAACAGAGTCCAGTGGTGGAGACCAGCCCGCTGATACTGGACCTAAATATTTCATTTGTGCTTTAACGGTCTCACTAATTTTTATAATTCACAAGCGGATTTGCACTTTATAAAATTAAAAAGCAGTACCACTAATAACTAATTATCTACCAGTCATCATTATGTTGAACAGCAGAAGGTATGACTGTCAATGAATCACAACACATGTGATCTATCCAACAGCACCCCTTCCAGATAAACACTCTTATTGTGAAGGTATACATCCTGCTGACTGTTGCTTTGGGTCACGGTTCTGATTTCCCACAATGCTTTGTGTCTGCTTACGTAGCAAGAAGACAACAGCAAAAACAGTAAACGTTTGTAATCCATATTAAAATTTTGTATGTATTGATTTATTTTACTTTACAATCGAAGCTCCTTTTAAAAAAATAAAGTTTAAACGCTGGAGCTCAATACTTGACGTAATTGGTCGAAGCAACGGGGTTAGAGACTCAGAAATGATTTAAAGATGTTATGCTGATGAAGACTGACATCTAGTGGTCAACTGGAGCAACTACATGGAAAACTTTAAAATCCAAGCTCTTATTTTGAAGGGAAGATAGTTTCCTGTTCTCAGTGCTTTCATTTCCCGTCACAAATCTAATCCATCACGTACCCAGAATGCATCGCTTCAGTTTTCCAGTAAACAGTTTTTAAATTACTTTATTGATGCTTCTTTAATGAAAAATCTACAACAAACAAAAGAGAAAGACAAAGAAGCAGCCGAACTAGCAATCCTCAACAACTTTTTAATTTTTACACCAGGAGCCAAAGGTCTGTTTCAGGAAATCACATCCCCAGTAATCAGCGGTTGTAGAATTAAGCTGTAAAAGAGTTCATACACCACTAGTTGGAAGTGTTGTACATATATTGTACATGAATTATTGCCAGCTAGTAAGTGTCAAATTGAACTAGCGCTTTGAAATTAGCTTCTGCTAGTTTTTCTATGGCATAAGCACTTTTCAAGTTGCGGATCTAAATATTTTCACAAGGGTTTCTGTGGCCCGGTGAGGTTT